TGGAAAGGAGTTGAAGCTGAAGGATGTACTGCATGTCCCAGACATCTGCAAGAATTTGGTCTCCGGATCACTTCTTGTTGAGAATGAATATAAGCTAGTGTTTGAAGCTAAGAAGTTTATTCTTACAATATTCCTTGGTCGTGGTTATCTCGACAAGGGTTTGTTCAAAATGAATGTAATGGTCGTGAGCCGTATAACCGTTAATAATAAAAAGCCTATTTCTGTTTATACCGTTGAGTGTTCTGATATGTGGCATATTAGATTGGGACATGTAAATCTAAATGTAATTAAATGGTTGATGAAATTAGAATTAATTCCTAATTCTAACGTTGAAACAAATACAAAATGTGAAATTTGTATTGAAGCAAAAATGGCTAAGTTGCCTTTTCATTCGATGGAAAAGAGTACTGAACCATTGGGCTTGATCCATACTGATGTATGTGATATAAAAAGTGTGCAAACAAGAACCGATAAAAAGTATTTTATAACTTTTATCGATGATTGCACAAGATTTTGCTACTTATATTTGTTAAGAAGCAAAGATGAGGCTGTGGAAGCGTTTAAGATATATAAGACTGAAGTTGAAAATCAACTCGGCAAAATGATTAAAATAATCCGAAGTGATAAGGGTGGGGAGTATGTAGCTCCTTTTGAACAAATATGGCATGAATATGGCATAATTCATCAAACGACAGCCCCTTATTCTCCACAGTCGAACGGTGTTGCTGAACACAAAAATCGAACTTTAAAAGAAATGATGAATGCCATGCTGATTAACTCAGGATTACCACAGACATGTGGGGGGAAGCTGTTTTGACAGCAAATTATATCCTGAATAAAATACCACCTAAAGGGAAAGATGAGACTCCTTATGAAATGTGGAAAAATAGTAAGCCATCTTATAAATACCTGAAAGTGTGGGGGTGTTTGGCTAAGGTTTCAGTACCTGAACCAAAACAAATGAGAATCGGGCCAAAAACGGTCGATTGTGTATTTATTGGATATGCGTATAATAGTACAACATATAGATTTCTGGTTCATAAATCAGAAAATCTAGAGGTATCTGTTGGTACTACGATTGAGTCAAAGAATGCTATATTCTTTGAGAATGTTTTACCTATGAAGGAAATGGCAGAATCTAGTTCTAATAAAAGAACGTATGAAACTGCTAGTGGTTCTGTACCAGAAGGTACTAATGAAGAACCGAGACGTAGTAAAAGGGTAAAAATGACTAAAACATTTGGACCTGATTTTATTACGTACATATTGGATGATGAACCGAGTTCCCTTAAGGAAGCTCTGTCCAGCCCAGATGGACCACTCTGGGAAGAAGCTGTAAATAGCGAAATTGAGTCCATTATTCAAAATCATACTTGGGAGTTGGTTGATCTCCCAGATGGTTGTAAACCTTTAGGATGCAAATGGATCATAAAGAAGAAATATAAAGCTGATGAATCGATTGATAAGTTTAAAGCACGATTGGTGGTCAAAGGCTTTAAACAAAAGGAAGGGTATGATTTCTTTGATACCTATTCACCAGTTACTCGTTTAGCGTCGATAAGAGTGCTTCTCTCGATTGCTGCTTTGCACAATCTTGAGAATCACCAAATGGATATCAAAACGGCATTTTTGAATGGTGAATTGGAAGAAGAAATATACATGGAACAACCTGAAAGGTTTGTTGCACCTGGACAAGAGAGAAAGGTGTGTAGATTGATCAAATCTTTGTACGGACTGAAACAAGCTCCGAAACAATGGCATTTGAAATTTTATGATGTGATGTTGACAGATGATTTCAAAACCAACGAATGTGATAAATGTGTTTATGTCAAGAGTACATCTAATACATTTGTGATTGTATGTCTATATGTAGACGATATGTTGATCATGGAGAGTAGCCATGAAGTGATCATGGATACGAAAAGAATGTTGAGGAGAAATTTCGACATGAAAGATATGGGTTTGGCTGATGTTATTATTGGAATAAGGATTATCAGAATCCAAGATGGAATTGTCTTGTCACAATCTCATTATGTAGAGAAAGTGCTCAAGAAATTTGATACCTATGACGGTGCCAAGTCTAGGTGTAAGACACCCCTTGATCTCAGTATAAATCTAGAAGTCAAAAAAGGTCAACCAGTGGCTCAGTTGGAATATTCATGGATAAAAAAACCCAGCTCACGATGCCCGAATTCGCATCCAGAAACCCTCTGTCGCCGCGCCGCTCGCCGTGTCCTCCCTGCGCGTTGAATTCGCCAGCCCCACTGCACTGCTGGTGTACATCAGCGAACGGATTGTCGACGGTTAGGGTTTCTTCAGAGACGTCATCGCCGGGCGGTGGTAGTGGTGATCGCCCGCCATAGCCACGTCCTCCACGACCACCGCGAAGCCCTCCGCGCACGCCTCGGTCGCTGGGGTCGCGGTTCGTATGCACCTACTCCGTCAAAGTTCGCATTGACAGCCGAATCTCCTCGACCCCCGCAGATAGGTCCGTAAATCGCTCGTCCATACCTTGATTCCGATCATCCATTCTCTGAAATCGATCTTCAATGATGTTGTCAAGCATGACATTTTTCTTTGGCGGCATTGTGGATCGTCGATTGTCTCTGGAGACCAACTGATGTAGAACGTGAATGAAGAACGAGATAAAGAATGAGATATTTTCTCGTGAATCACAAAATCCGATAAATTTCAATCAAAGCTCCCCACTTCTGTTACATTCCAAAACATAAATAAAGAGGAGTCCTACACCTACAAGATACTTGTAGGATATTTATTTATTTACTTGCTCCTAATAGATATATAAGTAGGAAATAAATAAAAAGAAAAGTAAATAATAATCAAATCAAATGCAGAGTCGATCATATTTGTCCAGAAACTCCAACGCGAGCTCGTATCCATCATAACCAAATCATGTTAGCATCTAACTAGGACTAGTAAACCTGTTATGAAATTATTAAAATGGGAAAAATAGTATTATCACAGAAGTTAAATGAGCTAGCAACGGATCATACAAATACACAAAAAATATTCGTCTTTGAGAATATTTCTCCTTGGGCAATTTTGGTCATTCTGAAAAAAAAATGTTATTTGACTTAAATAAAAAGAACTGGACCTAAACGTCGAGTCTTGCACCCGTTTTGATCTTTGAACATCTTCGAACAACCTATAAAGTATCGGGAGGTACTCCCGACATAAATAATATGACGCACCCGTTTTGATCTTCAAACAACCTACAAAGTATCGGGACGCTTAATCGGGCCCTTTGTATGTAGGGTTTCATTAAATTGACCAATTTAAAATTTTCCAACTAATGGTAATTAAGAAAAAAATGATGGTAATGATAACATGATTTGCAAGGATTTCAAAGAAGCATGAACATTTTTGTCCACAAATGATGTGTTCCTTTACGTTTTAGAGATTTTGGTGTATTTTTAATCTCCATGCATGGTAGAAATAGCATGTGTAAACGAAGAAAATAGGAGATGATAATAATATGGTTGTGGAATAAAATTGATGATGAACTTCTTAATTCCTTATCAACTATTTTGGTTTGATTGAATTTTTTTAAACAAGATCTTATTGTTGATTGTGTTTAATTAAGTGGCATTTGAATAGGGAATTACTATTCACCGCCCCCTTAGACGTTTTTGTCCTTCAGTACTCTCTCTCTCTCTCTCTCTATTATTTTCCTCTGTATACTCGTGAACGGAACACTGTCCTTGCCGCAAAGTATGTAATGCTGATAAACCATATGATCATAATTATAAGGCAGAAATTCACGTTATAAGTACTTACAGAACTGCATCCAAGTGGATATTTCTGGCTTCCCCTGGCGATGCCGCAAGCTTGTGAGTTGCATCCACCAGGCCGCCGCTCGTCCACGGAACCGCGTGGTGACAAGCGCGACAAGTCTGTTGTCTGGGACCTCCTTAAACTTAAGGACAGACTCAACTGCAGCCCACCAGTCGAGGAACTCCGCTGCATCTGCTCCTCCTGAGAACTCTAGAATCTCGACC